CTTTATACATGGCCCACCCATCTCACGCTTGACCCCTTCTCTCCAAGCAGATCTAAAGGAGCTAAGGAATTTCGTGACAGACATACATAACGACAGACGATCGAACGACAGGGCGACAGTCGAAGCGCTTTATAGTGGTACCAGTCGGGCCGCCCGGCTACGCCGGGCGCTCCTCCTTCCTGTGACAAATTTGTTTTGCATAAATAGTACTTTAAATTCTCCTTTTTCTTAGAAAGCTACACCCTAATCATTAGCTCCGAATTGGGAGCGATTTTTCTTGTAAGCCGTCTTCGCTGTGTCCGAATAGAACTATGTATAATATTACCGAGGCGATTATTCAGAGAAAAAAGAAGGATTCAGAGACTTCATCGCGGTTGAGGCTACTATGTTAGCTACCATCAATGTTCCCAGCCAACTCCCTGTGCCTTCAAGATTCAACGGTCTGGGTCCAAACGAACAGTATTTATTCAAGCCCCGCCCACTGGGGCGGAGTTTGGTCCTGCAACCTATCATCAGTGTACCTATCCTGCCTCTCGTTTTCCTGCCAAGTCGCTCTAGGTCCATTTTGACATTTCTTCGCAAGCCCCGCCACTGAGGGCGGAGTCGGGCCGTGACACCCACCGCAAAGATTCCCATCCTGCCGCCTGTACTCCTACCAAAGTTGAGTACTCTATGTCCGCTGGTTTTCCGCTCCAACCCCACCCACTAAGGGCAGGTTCCGGTCCTGCCACCCACCATAAGTGTTCCCATCCTGTCGCCTGTACTCCTACCAAGTTCGAGCACTTTAGGTCCACGGGGACAGAAGTTATGAACTTGCGACCTAAAATTTTTATCGTGCACGCCTCGCCCCTTATGAAAGGAGTCCGGTTCTACTACTTACCAAAGGTGTTCCCATCCTACCCTCCTTACTCTACCAAATTTGAGCGCTCTAGGTCCACGATGACAGGAGTTATGAATTTGCGGCCCAAAATTTCTAACGCGCACGCCCCGCCCCCTGTAAACGGAGTCCGGTCCTGCCACCAACCATAAGTGATCTCTTCGTGCCCCCGTACTCCTACCAAGTTTGTACGCTCTAGGTTCAGGGGGACAGCACTTATGAACTTGCGGCCTAAAATTTCTAACGCGCACGCCCCGCCCCCTGTAGACGGAGTCCGGTCCCGCCACTTACCATAGGTGTTTACATCCTGCCCCCCTCACTCCTACCAAATTTGAACGCTCTAGGTCCACGGGGACAGGAGTTATGAATTTCCGGTCGAACACACACACCGACACACACACACACACACACACACACACACCCAAACACATAAACACACAAACACACCGACACACCAACAGACACACTTAGCGAATTATATAAAGTAGGATAGTTATCAGCCCTTTTCGCTCAACATCTGTTCTTGTCAACAATCGCCTACGATCTTTTCACATTCCGCACCATTTTCTGAAGTGTCAAACCTCCACTGTAAGAAGAAGGAGGTAACAGATCATGCGGCTCTTGCCATCTGAGGCTCCTTATCAGCTCCTACAGAGTGTTATCACGTTCTATCGCCAACCATCAGAATTGACCCATCTTGCTGCTGCATCCCTTGCAGATATGAACGCTGTGGGTCCAGATTAAAGGCACAGTTCATGATAATTTTGAGGTACCCCTTTTTATTCAAAAAGCGGGAGTCTAGGTTGGGAATAGTTCGTTGGTAGTGAAAATAGCGGGAAAATTCGGCACTTTCGAGAGAGTAAGCTCTTCAAAAGTAGGGAAATGAAAGTTGGACGAGATTACCATGACGGAAATAACCTGAAGGGGTATTCGAACGAATTTCATTTGTTGCAGTAGAACTATAGCCGATCACATCAAGCCAAAAATGACAGAACTGTCTTTCACTGTCGCTGGGTTGTTTGAACTTCCTACATGGGTTCTCCCTTACTAGGCCGTTTTCTGCCTGATAGCGCCAGATATGGTATAGGAGGGGCCTCGACTTCGTCCTATGGGAGAATCTCGGAAAGTATTTTTATCGTGAACTGTGCCTTTGAGCACCCTGACCTTAATTCCATGGATGTTCCAGTAGTGTAAACCTTGGAAAAAAGCATGTGCTAGCTCAAACAAGAGCTGTGGTATTTCCGAAAAGGCTTCGCAAGAAGCAGGGATCAACGCTCTCCGGAGACCACCTCCATAACTTCGCTCAGGGAATCGTTTGGCAGATTTTGAATGCAGATTTGAAATCAGCATCAAAAAATACGTTCAGCAGTATAGGTCTCATTTAAAATGGCCACTACGACTTGGGATCCTTCCCTTGTAAATATTCATAATTTTAGCCCACTTGATAGAGATCTGAACTAATGATATTTTGTTGGTACCAAATCCTTACTAGAGGAGAACGCAATAAGACTTTTCATTTGTGATCCAATAGTTTCCGATGAAAAGTCGAATATTCGTGTGATCTGGCGTTGTTCTGATAGGAGACTGCGCCCTTACGATTGCCGGCTGTGGGCGCTTTTCTTTTGCCGCTGTCTTAAACTGCTCAGCTAACTACATTATCTTCCAAAAAGGATCGTTCTATTGAGCGGCAACTGCTCGCGAATGATTACCTTACGGTGTCACCAGAAAATAATTTCCAAGCATAATTTTCATCGCACGGAATTTTGTTTTTGGAATGATTAGTGGTGTCTCTCTGAGATCATTGCACGATCGCTTCCGCTCCATATTATCGAACACACCTCTTTCCATCTTACTTCAGAATAATTTCTAGAAAAAGCCGATTTTTCATTATATTGTGCGCTGATGAGCTTGCTTTGATCGTGAGCTATCCAATTGAATAGTTGCTGAAATAGCATCAAATTTTCGTGGATAGTTGAATTTGACATATTGAGCCCACCGCTGTTTCACAAATAGCTGTAAGCCGTTTCCTTAAGATCAACAATTCGATATGAAATCAGCTGGAGCTGCTTATTCCCACCGTTGCCGATCTTCCAGGGTGATTTAAACTTGGCTAATTGTGAGATTGGCGAACCACTTAAACATTATAAGATCTAATAAGTCCTCCTCTTTGTGAACATAAATATCTTTTTCCCTTTTCTAGCTGAACTCTTGCCGTCGCGGTAGAAGTAGAGCATTAGGTGTCGGAAGTGCCCTCGGTATCCCAAACTTTCCATCGCCTCTACACTCAAGAAATGTTAGCAATGTCTGAATCGCATTCTAGGGGCATGTTCACCTTCACAGAAAATATATGTTGTAAAGGTTGTATCGAAGAGTTTCTGTAAAAAGATTAGGTGATCCACAGCACTTGAATCTAGCGGAAACTTCTGAACACCTAATATATCAAGCTCAGGCTTAATAGCCATTAAGAAGTTGGTGGTAAGCGGGATCTACGTATAGTTAAAAGCCGGTGACAGGAATGTCAACTGGACGTGTAGAGGTTCGAGTTTTGTTCGCACGCTGATGTTCTCGCTTATGCTGGGAAAGTCTCAATCCATAGCTCTACCAGGTTTTCCCTACTGGAGCGTCCGCTCCACGAGAACACATGCTGGGACGATTCTTCTGCGAAACTGTCCTTCGAAATACACAGACAAGACAAGACAAATGCATTACCGGGCCATATATACGCTATTAAACCCTTTCGCAAAGGTTGAAGGAGGAGCTCCATTGCCGTCTAGTGACTTGGTCTTATAACTGATCGAACTGACATCCTTACTATAATACATGTGCAGCGCTCGTTTCTGTCTGCCACTTTTCTGTTCTGAAGAAGCACCGAGAGCGATCGGATCAAGTTTGGGATGGGTGGTTTCTCGACAATATAAGCAGAGCACGTATGAGCGCAGCGGAAATCACTGCACAGTGGAGGAACCTGTTCGGAGTAGGCAGTGCCAGGAGCAGAGCTTCATATTTTACTCTATAGTTCGTTTTAAAAACTTGATAATAAGGTTTATGAAAGGTCTAGAACAAGTTAAAAGTGTTCAAACGCTTCGAAGAAAGTGTTGTCGAATTTCGTTAGTGGGCGGTGCGAAGAAGGTAGAAGTTGGATGTAGCTCCAATCGGGCATCTATGGTCTTGTTTAGAAACGTCTCACCCATCGAGATTAGAAGGAATGGTTAAAGGCTATCGGGAAGAGTTTTCAAACCTCCATAATGGGTCCCGCAGGCACTGATGGGCACAAGGCATTGATACGGATTTTCGGAACTCTGTTCAAAGATCGGTTATCGTAATCGTTACCTACTATACATTGAGGTGCCGCTCTTCCTAACCGTCTGTCCATCTGTCTGTCTGTCTGTCTGTCTGTCTGTGTGTCTGTCTGTATGTCTGTCTGTCTGTCCTTTCGTCCGTCCGTCTGTCTCTCACGAAATGCAACAATACCTGAGGAAGCACTTGTAGTGGTCAGGTCAAGCTCAAAAATGGTAAGGCATAGGGCAAGTTGAAAAGAGCACGACGAAGCACGTGTGGTGAGATCCTCAGCGGTTGTTGATGCAGAGAGCAAAGCTTCCCAATTAGGTCTCGGAGCAGCCCAAACACCGTGAAAACTGAGCAGAAGTGAGCAATGGGTCAGCAGACGGAACGGAACTAGCTTACGGTTCCTAACGGAACGCTACTCGTTCCATAAAAAAAAAAGCTCGTCATTGTGCGTAATTGTCTGGGGATGGAAGATAGTTTGGGACACTATCGCTCATCCGACTTGACGTATTGAATGCTGAGTGGCCTATATCATAACCTTAGGTGGTCAGCAGAGCAGTGTTCTATCCTCGCAGGGAGGCCTGTTTCAGTGAACAACTCTGGAGGTTAGGCTATACCCTGCAATCACAGAGTCATTTTGACGTATCACAGCACATCCAACTACCCTATCTATTAAATGAAACCATGAATAGAGTAATGAACGGGCTGGCGGTGAAAGGCATTGGGTTCGGGAATTATGAATGTTGATTCTGTTAATGTGAATTTCGTGGAATCTTAGTCTGAGCTGGTCGTTGAACGTGTTGAGCACCTCTGATAATTAATGCAAATTCTATTTTAGATTGACTTCACTATGCAAGTTCCTTTTACCTTCGTATCCACTAATTACACCACACACACGTCAGAGTACATGGAAGCAAAGCAATACTACTATCACCAGCCAGCTTACCTTGGTAAGGAGTCCATTTTTGTGAAATAGTCTGCAAAGTTCGTAACCAGAATTGGAATTCGATAGAAGAGGAAAATCTCGTCAATTTGAATGATTTGAATTTCACATTCGTAAGAGTGGGTGTAGGCGGGCCCCAGGGGTTATCATGTGAAAACACGTAGTTTTTTCTTATAATGATGTCGTTCCTCACCCTGTTTCCTTTCGTCCTGATTTATGCTTTATAGTTGTTTTTAATGATGCCTCTGATCAATTCGCACACTAATCGGACTGATTGAATTGTTTTTTCGCCAAAATGAGTTTAATTCAAATTCCTCTTTTGGACAACATGCATAGTTTGTGTAAAATTTATTTTGTAATGGAAAGAATCTACATGACCCTCATTTGAGCTCCGAACGATGCCATGGCTTTTCCGCTTGCTTGGGAAGATCCTTGTCGCTGGTTGCTGTTAAGCAACAATGTAAAATAGCCGGAAGGGAATGGGCAACTCAGCATCAATAGCTACAAATAATTTATTGCCTCCGTGCATGGTGGTATTTGTGCTCGAAGGCAGCGCTAAAACTGATTGATATAAGATATTACACCCTCGATTTTGGAATATTTTTAACAACAGCATGAAAAAGGTCCGGTCATTATTTTAAAGCAAGTTTGCTAGAGCAGCAAGCTGCACTTCAATTTGCCAATGTGCTCTCTGATCTATCTTTCGATATAAACTTCTGTGAAACCATTCTGCAGAAGAGACATCTGACGACATCAGCATTGTTTTCAGAAGAATGTAAATTACTGCACGACTATTCAATACCATCGAGTGCAGAATTTCAATCAGAAACGATTAGTCCTGGGAGCTAATCGACGATATGACCACCGTATTATCATAACTCTTCGTCATGACTACAAGGAAGCACACTAACACTTTCATCATTCGATTAATGCCTCAAGTGAGGTCACAGAATGCCGGAATTCCAGGTTCGCACACTGAAGTACAAATTTCTTACATCAAAGAACAAAACGCTTCACCCACCGGAACCTGCATATAGCCCTCCTTTTTTTCGCGGTGTAATTCCTTAGTTTGCATCAATTCGGCAGTTCCGCAATTCAATGATTCTGCAGTTCGGCGATTCCGCGGATCTCGATTCCAATCTTCTGATCCTCTGCTCTTCAACGACTCAACATTCAAGAAGGACAAATAGGCGTCCCTACGACAACGAACAAGAACGGGTGATGTAAACAGCTCACAGAGAAGAGCAAGGCGCAACGATTTGTCGACTATCGGACTCATCACCGTCGATCCCAAAGATAAAACAATCAAGGTTGCACGCAACTTACTAACCTTTGAGATAGGAGGTTGTATTCTATGAATTGTTAACACAATAAATATTTTAATAAGATCACATAGTTCGAACATACTACCGCCGAAACGTCGAAGCACAGTGCCCGGATGTTAACATTAACCTTATGAGAAAGTAAAGGTTAATGTAACGACAATATAAAAGGCGCGGCCGTCAGTGGGTTAATTACCTACTTCTCTTGCACTGAAATTTCGTTTCAAACGAAGTCAGTGGGTAGCGCGCAAACTGGACAGTTCATTCACGTGTAAGCAGCCAGATCGTAATTTCGTGATGCCATGAAAGAAAGAACTTGCTGCCGCTACTGTGCTGGAAACGGGGTTTTATTTCATGCGTAGACGTAAAAGGAGGTGACAAGAACTATTTTGAGTACATGCCATTCAACACCTGTATCGCCTTCTTCGTTTGAAAGAGCTAGTATAGGGTTTTTTCTAAAATACCTCGTAAATTTAACAAAAAATGATGTGCAAACTTATGTATACTATTTCTAACCAGACGGATCGCTTGATTGACGCTAGACTTTCTTTTGTTTTTGAATAGGCCCGCCGCCTGCACTCAGAGGATGTGGTTCACATGTACAGGACACACACACCCACGCACACGCACACACACGCACACACGGCACACGTGTAATCACCGACACAAACCGGCACACACCGCCACACATCGACACACACCGACATCCAACGACGCAAGCCGACATACACCGACACACGCTGACACGCTTACGACCTGATGATGTCGGATAAAATCCAGATATTTACGTTCTATGAAATCCAAATGTTGAAAGCTCGAGTTCAGTAATTATATACATGAGGAACGAGTGGTTTGAAACTTTCAACGGTACTGTGAACACATTCAGCCATGTCGCCATATCATGTTTTCGATGCATATCGCTCATACTGCATCGCACTTCTCTTCTCTCTTTATGTATGTACAATACAATGCTTGTTTTTATCCTTCCGGCACCTGAGCAGCTTTGCTGAAAATTCATCGCTTTTGATTACGTGTCTCCTGTAGTTTATAGCCTCTTCTTCAAAGTAATCGTGTGATCAAATCTATTTCAATTCATGTTGACGTCTAATGTGAGCGTTTTTTNTTTTTTCCTTCTATAGCGATATCCATACAAAGTCATTCCGTATCGTAGTGCCCGTTATATAAACAACGGGATAATTTAGTCAAGAGGTTTGAGACTAGTTGTTTATAGAAATGTGATTCTTCATCTTTTCCAGTTCTCGGAATAACTGAAAAATGCTTGGTTTATTTACAATGGCTGAACCGTTGGATAGGAGATTCGGCATGGCTCCAGGAACCTGTACACTACGTAGCAGACGGCTCGAGATGTGACGACATCCAGCCTTTTTTCACGACAACAGTAAGTGATCGTCTGTTGGTTTTTCTTGGAGACATTTTTGCTGTATACTTTAGTACCATTAATTGTTCAGTGGTGTCTTGATGATTCCTCGGTTGTGATTTAAAGGTGTTTGACTCCATAAAATGGAGAAGTATCTAACCAAAATTCACAAATTCGCGATGATTTTTAATGTGGGCGGAGGGGTATGGTGACAAGTGGTGCACTGTCGCACATCATACATGGTAACGGACTCGAATCCCGGACCTCCTAGGCTAACCAAGATTTCCTTCCCTCCAGGTTCTATTATTGGTACCAGACTTGTTTTATAGGATACAAAGCACTGATATGTACAGAGTGTCCATAAATTATGGGCGCCAAAATTCATAAACTTATGAGGTAAAGTAATTCATCAAATTCACTTCATCCGCTGTTAATTAGTAATTACTTGCACGAGAAGATTTCTGCGAGAGGCGGAAAGGCATTATGGGATTTTTTNGGGGGGGGGGGGAAAGGGTGATATCTAGGGGACGGATTGTCAAGCAGAAACTTCATTGCAGTTAATATCGTATACCGCTTTCAGTTCTGATCTCAAGAGACAGTGCAGGGTCAAAAATTACAGAAGGATGCCAACACACTTGAGGGAAACACGCAACCCTTCACCGTTTGCTCTAACTGGAAAATTTTTACGGAAAAACCGTTCCTAAGCAAATAAAACGGCCACCTTCTGGCATGAACATCGAACGTGCACTCTCGCAAAAACGTTGCTATAATAACAGCAAAATGATGTTTTTTTGAAAGAGGTCACTAGCAAGGTGAAGGAAGATGCCCGTAGTTTCGTCGTTACCGGCGTGAAATTTGACAAAGATCTGTATTCAGAACATTCTGATGGATGTAATGAAGCACTGATCCTACTCCGCCTTCTGAAACAGCTCGTAGGACGGTACTCGAGCCCGCAGATGCAGGCTCGCTCGCTGGCGACGCTAGCTGCCCGACTTTATCGTCAGAAAAGAATGGCCATCTTGCTTTGATATTGATTCACTTGACTTGTACGTATGATCCCTGAACAGAACAGGATCTGTCGAGTTTGCAATCTCAGTTTGGAATCCTAGGAAGCAAGACTGAAGGATGGGTGCGGAGAAATGAAGGAGAATACCTGAGGAGTTCGAGAGTAAACTTTGGGCCCCTACTCTTGCTCATGGGGGATATTCCGAAATGGAGTCGTAACACATAAAATTAGCAAACGTGCATATATATTCCATCGTCATTATAAGCTGGTGAGCTTCAAATACATTGCCATGAATTGGCGCCCACAATTTTCAAGCACCCTGTCATGGGCTAGCTACGCAAGTCATTGTACAGGCCACAAACGCATTCAATACGCCACTACGATACTGAATGGAAGTCGAATGCGGGGGCATATTCGTCAGATAAGGTTGGATAGCGCTCAAAGGCTTTTATGTGTGTTTTTGCTTCGTGAAGCCCTTGACCCTGAGTGGGCTCCATTCTGTGGTTTGGTGCTTCAGGAGTTTTCGAGGCAGGATAGGGATTGAGGATACCTATTGTTATTATATGAATTAATGCATTAAGTCGTCACAGACGCAGCGTGATGCTGTAGTGCGCATACTGTATTGCCAATCGTATCCTGTCAAAATTTTTACTGAAAGGTAGTGTGGAGTCGATTAACACTTTGACAACCATGCAGCCCACATGTTGGCTGCGCCTTGTCGGCCACGAGGGACCTTGCAGCCCACACATGAGCTACACCGAGTAATTCAATTTTTTATTTAGTTTATTTTTTCTTGTTTATATTATTTTCTCTCAAAATGTAAATGATTGACACAAACTTGAATTAACAAACGGAGCGGTTTGAAAAAAAAAACTCCACCAACAAATTTATAAGAAAAATAGTGATTAGTATTGGTTCTTCTTCAGTAAATTGTTACTGAGTGCTGAAACATTTTGAAAGTCGTACGTCTCCTATCAATTGCACAGCTTATAAAACCTATTAAAGCACTCTACACAGAAAAATGATTTGCACTTACTGCATCGCGTAGTTACCCTTCTCGTATGACGGAGTGCACCAGCTCGCCCCTCTTCTGAAGACCTGAGTGCGTAGCAGTGTGTGCATCTCCTTCTTGTGGTGGCTTTTGGTCCAGGCATTTCCTCTAGGTGGTGTTTTGTAGAAGGTGTGAGGTTCAGGTCCGTTGAAATGAGGGCTTCTAGTAATTCCATTCCATTTGAAGTCGTTCAGTTTTATCTATTTGACGACAACATTGTAGAGCTTCCACGCGTTGATGACTGCGACTTCTGCGATCAGATGGAAGAAAATCCTTACACACCATTTAGCAGTTCTACGCAAAGAAGGGGCGTATGCTGTGAGCTGGTCGGAGACGTCTACAAAGCATTTGAGGTCGTTGTAGTCTTCGACAACTGCGGGTTTACCATTGGAGTTGATCCTTCCATCGTCCTTTGTTGACCGTAGCAATATTTCACGTTTGTCCTTCCATTTCATAACGAGAACACCTTGCTCATTTTGCTGGTAATGAACCTCGCTCCTTCTTAGCCTTTTTTTCCTTGATTGCCTCTGGAACTCCCTTTCTATTCTTTCGCAAGGTACCTGTCAAGTGCGTGCACCTTTTCAGGAGTTTTTCAGCCAGTGTAATGCTGGTGTAGAAGTTATCCGTACACAAAGTACGTCTCTCATCCATGAATTTTCCCATGGGCTCCATGACAGCTGAGTCCGCATTAGTGCCCATTCTTGAGGGGTCTCTCCCTGCATATACCTTCACTTTGACTGTGTATCCGACTCGTCCACATATTTTGGACAGTTTGCACCGTAGCGATGCTTTTGGACGGTAAGTACAGCCTGAAGGAAATTCGCTCTGAACGGTACCAGGAATTTGTCTATGCAGACTTCGCTGCCGATTGAAAAAGCCTCATAGCTGTGCGTTGAAGATGCTTAAAAGTTTCCGGATTTTGTGCTGCTTGTCCTATCGAATTCGTCGTTGTTGGCAACGTGAAGGGAACGAAGAAGCTCTTCGAACCCTCTCTTAACCATAACGTGACCGACATGCGAATGACCACCTGGAGCTGGTTGTTGTCTACAGTAATCGTAGTCGCGGTAGTCTGACGACTCCCATTTGAAGACAGATTCCTAAGAATTTCCTCGTTCCGTCCTTCGTCGAATCTTGGAAGTCCGATCCAAATTTCTCCGATCTTTGCTGGCCATATCTGTTCGTTTCGGTGGCAATGAGCCCCATCATTTCAGCTTCAAAAAACAGATTGTAGAGGTCGACAGGATGGCTGCAACCAAAAACGTGGGCGGCCGGTCCATACTCTCCTGTGAAAATCCATCGGTCATGAGTTGATGTAGTTGTTGACCAGGGCATTTTAGATTCATCACCAGAATCCGATATACTTTCAAAGTCAGGATCCTCATCTTGTAGTTGCGATTCGTCTGCGGATTTTTCCTGTTCATATCTTCGCTTTTTTCATCAGATTCGATCAGCAGTTGAAGAAACTTCTGTTCAAACCGTTCTTGTGACGTATTCATAATCGTTGGAGACAGGAGTAGCCTGACTAATCAATCTCCTGACGTTTTCGAAAAACCCGCCAAAATAGTCCGCTCCTCGAAACATGCCACGAGAGCCCGTGAGGCTGCAGTTGCTGCGTTCAAGCGAGCGCCGCGGTCCCTCGCGTCCTCAGTTGCGTATACTTGCGCGGCCTTCAAAGTGATAATATTACTCACTTTCAGTCATTTTATAGGAAGTTACCCAGACCGAGTTGCTCATCGGAGTAAGGCGGATTGGGAGGCGAATGGTGGTTCAAAGCCTTGTGAAGTTTGTTGATTTCTTTTTTGTAATATAATTGTTTTCAAGACAAGTATCTTTATAATTCACAACCACAGCTCTGCATGTCTCTCTAAAGAGAAGGTGAAGCGATTTCATCCCGAAGTTCAAACATTCACATGCAGATTCTATCCCAACGTCAGACACTTCCAGTTTCTCACTCAGGAATTTCCGCCAGGTTTGTCGCAATGATTTAATCTCTTATATTCTGCAAGCGAACCTGGGAAAGTGTACGGAATGAATGTTAGCTCTCACTGGTTGGTAGTTTTGAGTCTTTCGAGGAAAAGTAGTTTCTACGAGATTGAAGATTTTTCCTGTTATGAAGGGTGTTAGGATATCGATGTGAAAAGTTGCTGTGCTTTGTGGCACTGTTTCATGAGGTGAGATAAGGTAGTGAGATCAATGACTGAGAACTGAAAACGAGTGCTCTAAAACCTTTTATTTAAATCAAAGGTTTTGTTTTAGGACTGCAACCTGTTAGTGTCCCCAGGGCAAGCATAATCCACGAAATTTCCGCGTAGAGAAGGCGTACAGAACCTTGTTTTTTTTTTGCTGAAATATTACTTTCATCATCATGGTGAGAGAAGTTTGTCTTACACCATAGCAACTGTTGACAATCGAAGAGAAAGAGGCAACGTTTGAATCTTAAAGAAAAAAAGGGGTTTTTGTCGGAGAAATGTTTACAAACTCTTACTAATTGTAAGGATATAGCGCAACAACACGTTTATTTACAACGTTTGTGGTGTGGATTGAAGAAGGTTCGAAAACGAATGTCTGATGTTACGGTGTATTCATCTCTCATAGCTACGGGTTACACGAAAGCGATAGTGAAAACTTGCTGTATTCAGGATTCAAATATGTCGGAACAACAAAGCTTTTCGGAAGGCTAATTGTTTATGGCTACACTGAAACTCAAATCATGTATGTCAACTTCGTCATTTTTCGGTCCTGTTACGAAGTTTATTTTTCAGGCTTTTATATACATCTGATAAGATGAATGTATGCTTAACAACTTAATAGTGACATGTGGTGAGGGGATGAAGATTCAGTAAGGTCCCTAGCAACTAAGGACCGACAAATTCTTGGACGGCCAGCGTGAAGAGAATTCAAGCTGATCAGTAAATTTATGAGTAAGCTGTATGTTAAAAGTGGTGGAAGGAGGCTGCTCATGAAGTACATAGTTTGAACTGGATGATGTTGGGTGGACCTGGTGAAAATAGAAAATGGACGGAGCAAAATCATTAATGAGAGAGTTGTCTGTTAGAGCGTAGAACAGCTATACTCTCGAAGGCACGTTCATGTTGAAAATGGTTCCTGAGTTCTCCCCTGAGGAATACACAGTGGCCCCCAAGAGTGGTGGAAGGGCCCCTCTCGCTCCCAAAATCTCGACGGTCAGGGCATAGTGGAAGCCCTTTTGCTGTCTCGAGTCGCTTTCCCGCCTCTCGATCGGTGTCACGTCAGACCAGTGCCGAGGCAATACAGATTGCGAATATTCGTTCTAGGATCCATGCACAATCGGCTGATCGCCGAGTGATGAGCCGATGTTTTTCTCCCATTCTTTTTTCCTCTGTTATTCTTTTTGATGCCGCGATCCCTTTTTTAATTTCCTACCCCAAGTGGCTGAAAAGGGTGAGTTATTTTTGCTGTGACTAGGGTTTTTTTTGTTTACTTATGCTCATGAGGGGACGAATTTTTGCTTACCGCAGTTAGATATCTGCATCAGGACCCACACGTACGCAATGACGCACTATGCGTAGCTCGTCCAAACGCCAAACCCTTGTTCATTCTTCTGGTCACATCTCGTCCAGCCCCCTTTTTCACGATTTTTCGAAGCCTTTTTCACTTCGGAAACACCGGTCCACGCAGTTCCTTCGCAGTTTTCCGCTTGTCGTACTATTTTCCATCTTATCTTCCATTTTTCGTCATAATCTGGGTTACCCAAAATTATCGTGAACTGTGTCTTTGAGATATCCGTAACAGCTCATGGAACTCCGAAGGATACAGGACAGTTATATTGCTTATTCATCTAATCGAATTAGATTGCTAAAATGATTCTTCAGTGTTTTCTTCGGACCGCATTTATACTCAGATGATTGACAAAATGATTCGGGAAGTTACCAATGTAAGGCTAACAAGTGGCTCACCAGCATTGGTGCAACATAAAACCTTCGAAAATTTGAAACGTTAAGCTCGCTTCTCAGGTGTCGGACTATTTGAGTTTCGTTCAGAATGTAGTTGTACTTGACCACATACATACGATGCCATTGGATGCCAGTTCTTACAACCTCTCCGACGAACCTGATACCGACTATTCGATCTCAAAAGGTTGGAAAGACTGGCTTGGCTCGACCGGTTGTCGACCGAAGACGATACATACTTGAACCATACGTGTGTAGTCACATCACCCTTGACTGCCTTCGAGCATGAGCAATAGGTAAATTACTACTGTCAACATACATATTATTCCTATATATAGAATAAAGTCTTAGAAACTCCTCGGTGCATCTGCTAAGGCAGCAAAGGACGTCAGGACGTACAGCAGTGATATCCACACAGGGATCTTGCTGATCGAGGCAGGTATGGGTGCCATAATCGCCTTTTACTTCCCCAAATTTGATCGCCACTACTCGTTTAGAAAGGCAAAATCATGTGAAATAGCGCTCATACGTTGAAATACGTAACGTAGATAGCGGAGGTCGAAATTTACGATTAGTGGTTGAAAGGCCTCAATCGACTCATATTCGAGCATTTCAGCTCACCTTATCTACGCTTCTTGTTCCATATGTTAGGCACATAGCAAGCGAACTCTGATGAACTAGTTGTGCTGCTAGAACTTGCAATGAACAAGAATACATAGACTTGAATGGCATCTGTCTCCCAACAACTCGTGAGCATGTGCTCTCAGAGCGTTGCGAAACGCTCCCACAGAGATATGGAGGAACGAACGGATCGCGAGAAGGGAGGTTTCCTGAAGTTACAGATGCTACTTTACTACTGCGCATGAGAGTATCCTGTCAGTATGAGATTCGAAATTTACCATTCAAAGGCACGGTTCACGTTAAAAAAATTACTGAGTTCTTCCTTTGGGAACACTCAGCGCTCCCCATGGGTGGTAGAAGGGTCCTCTCGCTCCCACATCGGCGCTTAGGGTATAGTGGAAGCCCTGTTGCTGCCGTAATTGACTTTTCCGGCCCTCGATCGATGTCACGTCAGAGAAGTGTCGAGGCAATACAGTTTGCAACTATTTGTTTTAGGACCCACACACAATCAGCTGGTCGTGGGGCGAGATTTTTCTCCCATTCTTTTTTCCTCTGTAATTCTTTTTGCAGCCGCAATCCTTTATTTAATTTCTTGCCCCTAGAGGCTGAAAATGGTGCGCTACTTTTGCTGTTGCTAGAGTTTTTTTGTTTACTTATGCTTATGTGTTAATAAATTTTTGCTTACCGTGGCCTGTTATTCGCACCAGGATCCACACGTACGCAGTGAGATACATTGTATAGCTCGTAAAAACACCCCACCCTTCTTCATTTTTCTGGTCTCATTCTCGTCCAGCCCCCTTTTTAACGGTTTTTCGAAGCTTTTTTTTCACCTCGGAAATACCGATTTACGCAGTTTCTTCGCCTTCATCGCACTATTTTCGATCTTGTCTTCCATTTTTCTTCATAATCTGGATTATCCAAAATTATCATGCTGTGCTTTTAAGGCACAGTTCACGATAAAAGTAGCTTATGAGGTACTCTCCTAGGATAAATCTCTAGCCTCGTATATCACATGTGGCGCTGTCATGTCGGAAAATGGGTTAGATAGGGCGATATAAAGGCTAAAAAATTGTCCCGTGTGTATCCTTGGACGAGTTTCACCGGCATTGTAGAGGCTGTACCGATCACAATGGAACCCATGCAGGAAGTTCAAACATTTTGTCATGACCAAAAGCGACAATGAAAGGCAGTTCTGTACCGTACCGGCTCAATGTAATCAGCACTTTGCGCAATTACAACTACTGAAATCTAGCCCGAATACCTTTTTCATGTTATTTCCTCGTGGTATTTCGTCCAACCTGTATTTTCCCTATTTCGAAGGACTAATTTTATTTTTCTTTCGGAATCGACGAATTCTCTCGCTTTCCTCACGACCGATGAACTATTTCCAACCTATACTTCCACTTTTCGACCTAAAAGAGGTATCTCCAGATTATCGTGAACTGCGCCTTTGAACTGGCTGAACTAGATCGTTGTTGCTGATGTGTTGTAGAGAAGTCTCGTAGACCGTGCAACGAGACCTCACGGAGGGAGGGGNCGGGGGGGGGGGGGGGGGGGGGGGGGGGGGGTGTACATTAAAAGTCAAAGCTAGTTTCGGGATGGAAACTCTACTCGAAGGTAGATTCTGCTCCCCATTATTTCGGATGGTTTTCAAAACGAGTACTGCGGTTACAGTCAAGCTGGATCTTTCTTGGTGATGGCGTCATAATCGACGGACGAACTCATCCACTGCCTGCCATCACGTAGATTTGCTATAAGTTAAAGTTGCCGCTTTCTGTAAACGAAGTATTCTCAAGAAATTTATGAGTTTTTCAAAAACTAGACTTCCTCGACCTCTTTGATCATCATAATCTGCTTACCGTGTGTAATTGCTACCAGTTTCATTGATTTGTTCACTTTGTGGAAGCCGAGCATTAGGGTTTTTCCAATTTTTGCGATTCTCTGTTGCTCTGTAACTTTTCATGCTGTTCGTGACATTTTTTTTTTGAAACTGTGACATATTTCATAGGGTGCGGTATCTTCTACCCGAAAACGTACCTCCACCCATATTGGACTGACAATGGGAATAGCTTAAGATTCAGCCCGACGACTGGACAACAAAGAAATTTATTGAGACACTGTCACTTAGGGCATACAAGAGAAATTGGGAAACACTGGGAGACAAAAGTAGCTGTATGATTAACTTGATATCCTTTTGTTAGATTCGATTTGTTAAGGTTGTTGATACTGAAGATAGGACATAGCAATGCCGATTATGGGCCAGGTGGATATGATTCAATCCTGATACCTCATCTGCAGCTACTAGGTAACTAATTTTTGTTCATTTTGTTCTGCACAAGCGGTAATTACATAGTTGCATGTGACTCCTCATATTTTGATGATTGCTCGTGACTCATCTTATCTCGTTAAATATCATCGTTTTTGCATAGTTTTCCAGATGTTGGTAGTCTCTCATTGTGAACTGTGCCCTTAATGAGCCATTATTAGCTGCTACCTGCCGTCCATCATCTGAGTCAAAGCTTCTACTCTTTCTCCTGAAATCCCACGATTCTGAACACTCCAGGTCTAGGTGAACAGGGATTATGGATTACCGGTGTATTCTGATATGTATAGAAAAGTATGTAAGTTTATCGGTGTTTGTGTGTGCTTGTATGTTTTGAGTTGACCGAAACAAGCTCCTTTTTGGCTGAACCTGAAGCGTGCACATTTAAAAATGGTATGAGGAAAAGGTTAGTAAAACCCACACTGGATGGCAGGTCAGCAACTGACAAACATACACGCACATACATCAGCAATACTATACTTAGCCAATCACATAGCATCCAAACTGCTTGCTCCGTATTCAGATGAAATTTACAACATATAGAATTGGACACTGCCGTGTAGTTCAAGTGGTCATGGAACTGCCTTATTACATAGAGCCCTATGTGAACCCATCAAAACCCTATAGCGCTACTCTCAAAGTCGTCAATCATACGAGGTGGAAAAGCCTCGGTGGAGAGGAAAACTGGGAGACAAGCTGTAGCAATTTCAAATTATGCAGTGCCCAAGATAACATATGGTGTCTTTTTTGTCTTCCAGTATGCACCTAACCACTTGAACGTGCTGGCATACATGTTGTCCTTGTTCTCGTGTGCTCAAACGTTTTGCAAACAAACGAGAAGGGCGTTTCACAGTTCACAAAAAGGCAGAGCGAAACGCGCAATCCAAAGCTCCGTCACTGACTGCAGATCAGAGC